AATGTGCATAACGTGACCAGCATTTGTCTTTTATTTATAATATGAAATATGCAATAAATAAATTACTAGCAATTATTTATCAAATCAAAATAAAATTCCATCTTGTGTGGGAACTTTGAGTCATGCTCTAATAAAAAGCTTTGAGAAATGCATAATACAATAGTATAATATATTTATATGCATAATATAAATGCATAAATATATAGTCATATCTTTCAAAATTAACAATTGTTTATTAAATTAAAGTAAAATTCGATCTTCCTTGCAACGAAAATGAAGTTTGATCTGAAATAAATTATTTGTCTTTTGTACTAGCTATTATTTAGTAAATTAAAATACATATATATATATATATATATATATATATATATATATATATGTATATAATTAAATTATATTATCATAACAAAAATTATGGAAAATTTTGTATTTTTTTCTTATGCTATTTGCGAACTTACTCATAAATCTTTGAACTTGAGTCATGGCAAATGCTCTATTGTATTAACTTAATCAATATTTACTTTTTTGTAAATTGAAGCAAACGTGTACTATAAAGTACTATACTTGCTTAATTTTTTTTTGATAAATCTCGCACTATTCTATAATACAATGTACTTTTAATTATATTATTCTAGTTTAATATGTCTAGATTTCATAATTTTTATTATTCACAATTGAACGGTTCTATAGAACTATGGTTCTAATAGATTATCATTGTTTTATTTAGATCTTCAAGAGCAAAATCTATTCTGAAATTAAGTATTTCTCTGAATCTATTCTGAAATGAAGTATTTCTCTCATTTAATTAACTTCCCGTAGTAGTAATGGGCTGAAAATCGAGAATGAATTTTTTGCATATCTTCACGTTTCAGAGGTTTCTGATCATTTGGCATACCTCAGAAAAAATTGATCGCAATTTTTCGTCCACGTTTTCGGGCGCACGGATCAACCCATCGGTTTGAATGGTTCAAAAAACATTCGATTACTATTGATTGGGAGATGTGCTGATTAGATTTTGGCAAAGGCAAGTCCAGCAGTTACGGAGATAATGAGCATAGAATGCAGAAAATAGAAATCAAGTTTTTGAGAGAATGGAGTATCCGATTTGAACGATCGAAAGAACATTCAATTTGTAATGATTGGGAGAAGAGGTGATTAGTTTTTGGCAAAGGCAAGTCCAGCAGATACGGAGATACGGAGCAAAGTGCGCAGAAAATAGAAATCGAGTTTTTGAGAGAACGGAGTATCCGATTTGAATGATCGAAATAGAATTCAATTTGTAATGATTGGGAGAAGAGGTGACTAGTTTTTGGCAAAGGCAGGTCCAGTCGTTACGGAGATACGGAGCAAAGAGTGCAGAAAATAGAAATCGAGTTTTTGAGAGAACGGAGTATCCGATTTGAATGATCGAAATAACATTCAATTTGTAATGATTGGTAGAAGAGGTGATTAGTTTTTGGCAAAGGCAGGCCCAGCCATTTCGAAGATACGGAGCTAAATGTGTAAAAAATGGCAGTTTTTGAGAGAACTAAGCATCCGATTTGAACTGATAAAAAACTTTCTGCTTGTGTACAACTGCTTTTGGAAAAAAAAAATTAAAAAAAAAAAAAATCATATCGAAAATAATTCAGATTTTAATTTTAATTCTGGCTAAAGTTTTAAAGCTCACTTATATACTTCAAATAAATAATTTTAACTTTGTAATTCAATTTATTTTATTTATAATAATTATAAATTTATAAGAATTATAATTTATATAATTCTTATAAATATTAGACAATGTTACAGTATTTATAACAATGTATTTGAAAACATTTAATATTTCTCGAACATTTCGTTACGGTACGGGAAGTTCCAGCAATTTGCCTTAAGGCACGATGCCATACACCACTAGTTCCTTATACCATTGGCTAAATATGAACAATTATCATACAATTCCATTCCCTAGCCGGTACCAAGCACGCTCTGATGTATTTTGTACTCTACCTCTATAATCCAAATGATAAAAAATCGAATTCACGGTTATCTAAAAATAGTTAATTGAATGTATATCATTTACTGATAATTAACGATATTATCCGATACTTCTGTATATTTTCAATGTAGCAACAGATTGAACAGATGCACTTTGAATTCGCTGACGATATGTTATAATAACTTTGTATGAATTTCTAAATATTTAACGGTGAGTCGGATGTTTAATATAATATAGTTTTGATCAATTGTATATGTGTGTCGCAAAGTTTGTTAATTCTCATATGAGGAACACAACTACATTAGTTCCGCTTGGAGTACGTACTTGAACTGTGTATTATTCGCACACGTGAAATAAATCATATCGGTAAACTTGTAATATCTATTTTATTAACTAATAAGCGTAGTTTGTGTAATAACAAGTAATTTCTATTAGTAGTCATAAGTGATTGAAGTGAAAACTGTAAGTAAACTTTTACTATATAATATAATTTGAAATTTAATCAGGAGTAATTATGTTGCCCTTAATCACCCAACTTTCTAGTCTAGCTATATGTATGGTGAAACATGGTTGAAACATTAATTTTGCTAATCAGAATTTTAATAATATGATAAATATTAACTCCAAATTCTAAATTTATACAAAATTATTAACTTCCCGTAGAGTAAGTTATAGTAATCGCAAAAAAATCGAAAATGAAAATTTTTATATATCTTTACGTTTCAAAGGTTTCTGTATATTTTGGTATGTCTTAGAAAAAAGAGATGTATGCGTGTGTGTATGTGTGAATGTGTGTGTGCGGATACAAATTTTCGTCGACGATTTCGGGAACACCGATCATCCAATTTGCATAATTCAAAAAACATTCGATTCGTATTGATAAGGAGACGTGCTGATTAGCTTTTGGCAAAGGCAGGTCTAGCTGTCCCGAAGATACGGGACAAAGAGTGCCAAAAACGGTAACTCAGTTTTTAAGAGAACGGAGCGTCTGATTTTAATCATTCAAAAAACATTTTACTTGTATTGACAAGATGAGGAACTGATTTGGGAAGGCAGGTCCAGCGGTTATGGACTTTCCATAAAAATAAGTTAAAAAATGTCATTTCCCGGTCAAAAATATTTATTGGATATATGTACATCAAATTATCAGATATTTTATAAAGATTTTAATAATGTGTTCACATTTTGTGTAAATTTTTTTGTGTTCCGTACCAAGATTTTTAATTACGGTACGGGAAGCTCCAGCAATTTGCCTTAAGGCACGATGCCATACCCCACTAGTGTTTTATATTTGTATACCATGATTATAATTTAGTGAGACTCTAATCCAATCATTGATGGGGCAGTTTCAAAATGTATTAGAACAATTTGTTCATTTTTGGTTTATCTAATGAAACTAAACTATGTCAATTTTTTTTTACTGTCTTTGCTGTATAAATTGAACTTAATTGAAACAATATTTTACCCTCAAGTTTATAAAAAAAGTTCAAGTAATTATTATTAAGGTACAATAGCTAAGTATGAGTAAGCTGTTGTTTTTTGTTGGGATGATTAATTGTTTAGCTAGATTTTGCGACTCTATCAACCGTTATAAAAATTTTAATGCTACTGATTAACACTACTTTTCATTAATCTTGTAGTAAAAATTTATATTAAAAATTATTAATACTCCTTACGGCTTATAGTCTATAACTGAAGATTTTCCTTTGAACTAAAATTAATATGATGAAAAATTGAAGAAAATTCTGCATTAAAATTAACATAATCTTTGATATTTTTCTTTTATTGAATGTGTGGGTGATGAGTATATTGTATTTAAATAATAAAGCTATCACTATTTTTATTTAAATTATTACTGAATATAACAAACTAAATTATCATATTTAGATAATATTCGGAATATCTCTATTCCAATGTTGGCTATTTTTTCTATAATTTACAGAAGGATGCCTAGTTTTTCTAAATATGAGAATGTTTCTATTCCAATCTTGGCTATTTTTCTCTATATTCTAGAAAAGGATGCCTAACTAATCTAATTATATGAGAATGTCTCTATTCAAATGTTGGTTATTTTTCTCTATATTATACAGAAGGATGCCTATCTAATCTAAATATATGAGAATGTCCTTTTTCTGTATTTTATTTAGAAGGATGCCTAACTAATCTAAATATATGAGATGTCTCTTTTGTAATGTTGGTTATTGTTCTCTATATTATACAGACTAATCTATATAGCATTTCATACATCGTTAAACGATTATATTTACATAATCAAAATAATTTTGTATTTATTTATAAAAACTCCTGGGTTAAAACAAATACTTTCTTCAAATCTTTGGGAAATATAAAGTATGATTTAAAATTCCGAACAGTTATACGAAAATTGCTATTTGAGTCACGTGCTAAATATATTTTACAGAATAAAAATAAATTACAAATTAAAAGGTACTCTAGATTTTTGGATTTTGTACCACCTCGGACAGTCCAATACCAGGTAGTAGAGATATCCGTTTTCACTTCAAATTGGAAATATAGGTTTGAAAATATTTACTAATGAAAATATTCTTTCCTTGGCATTGCTACAATCTTGGCAACTTTTTTTATTTAGCAACAAAAAATATTATTGGTATTAGATTTTTTCATTTTACCATAACTGTCTTTAGTGACTAGCAAATAGAATAAATAATAATTATTAACAATGAGTATAAAGTGACCAGCGTTATTTCGTTACGTGACTACTTTAAATGAATAATGCGATTGTGTAATAGTAAAAATATGTTTTTATATAAAAAAAATTGAGATACATTTTGATATTAGTAAATCAATCAATTGATAGGCCAACTGTTAGATTGCCTCCTAAAAGCAGTCGTTGTTAAGGACATGTTTCATCACAACAGCTCATAGAACTGTTTTGATTGAATTTTTTTGGATCATAGTTTATCTATGAATAGAGTTATTTTATATTTGATTTTTATTATGCTATTTAGGCATCATTTAATTTTTTACTATTTATTATGAATTTCAGATTTTCCATATAAGAATTGAAAGCATAAAATGATTCTCTCCGTGCTGAAAAAATCTCGCATCGTGCACTTGTGTTTTGCCATTTCATTCTTCACATCAGGCCTGATCATAAACATTGCACAATTCATATTATACACATGTCTCAAGCCTTTCAACAAGAGGCTTTACAGAAAACTTGGTTATTATTTGTGCTACACATTTTACAGTCGTAAGTACTACCAGCACAATTATTTATCACCTTTGGGATTTGGGATGGGTTTTTGGACTGGTCAGTTGCACCTATAGAACAAACATTAAATGATAATTTGGTCTTTAACATGTGAACAAATATTTTCATTTGTATGCTATTCAACTTGAAAATATTTGTTGTTTTCACAACATGTCATTTTTATTTTCATAGCAAAATTTATTATTATTACATTATCACAAATATGCATGATGTTTTTCAATTTATAGCATTATGAAATTTTGTTTCTATAGGTTCAACTGCCATGTATGCACAATTAGCAATAAATATTTATACTGCACATTCTTATTAAGATATTAGAAAAAAATACATAAATTAAAGTTTTCTAGATTAATGAGATTCAGATTATTAATTTATTTAATATTCCAATATAGATTTAATAAAATAGTTTGAAATGAATTCCTTTATAAAGTAGAAATTATTCTTGAAATTAGTAAAATTTACAATTAGTATTTAATGCAATTATAATAGCATGCTCAAATATTTTAAAACTTTTGGTATTCTGAAATTGTCAAGAATAATGTGTTTAAGAATATAAATGTTACATTTATTATAATTGTTTATTGTTAGTATTAATAAGAGTTTTATTTCTTCAGAGATAGTGTTTTTAGCTGACTGGTGGTCCAAATCTAATCTGACCTTACACATATCAAAGAAAGATTATGAACAATGTGGGAAGGAACATGGTCTTTTAATTATGAATCATACGTACGAAACAGATTGGTTATTAGGATGGATGTTTACGGAAAAAATTGGTGTACTTGGTGTGAGTATTCTTATAAGTCAATATTTAAATTATCAAATTTATTCATACCAGCTCATACTGAGTTTGTGTATTTATATATTTCATATTAGAAAGTGGTTTATTTTATAATTTTAATAGACAGACTGAACAAAATTATTATTTATTCGATAATCATTTTAATTATATTATGTTTATTACAGAATTGTAAGGCATATGCAAAAAGATCTATTCAATACATTCCGTCATTAGGATGGTCTTGGAAGTTTGCAGAGTTTGTCTTCTTAGAGAGGTCCTATGATAAGGATAAAGAATTTATTGGTAAACAAATTAGCGAAATTATGGATTATCCTGATCCTACGTGGGTAAGCATATGAGTTGCAATGCACATTTATTGTCAATATTATATAATTTTATACGATATTATTAAAAGATTTTTATATTTTCAGTTATTGTTAAATGCAGAAGGCACACGTTTTACTCTAGCAAAGCATGCTGCATCTCAGAAATTTGCTGCTGAACATGGACTACCAGTTCTTAAGCATCACTTAACACCGCGCACTAAAGGTTTTATCGCAAGCTTACCATCCCTTAAAGCCAAATGCCCTGCCATATATGATATTCAACTTGTAGTCAAACCAGATGAAAAGGTACCGAATCCAATAATCAATCTATTCCAAATTTATTCTTCTGTAATATATATGTTTATATTAATGTGAAATTATATTCAATCTAGGTATCACCAACTGTATTAAATTTCCTACTAGGACGAACGATAAATGCATATATGCATGTTAGGAGGATACCTATGTCATCAGTACCGTCAGATGAAGACGGTGCAGCAAAATTTATGCATAATTTATTTAAGGAAAAGGTTTGTTAGATATATAATCATAATATTATTAAAAGATGTTGTTTATTTGAATATAATATTATTAATTTATTTTAGGATGATCAAGTAGACTCTTTCCTGAAAACAGGAAGATTTTTACCAGAATCAGAAACAACAGGGTATATGGAACCTTTCAAACTAAAACCTAGTTTAGCTCCGTTACTGAATACAATATGTTGGGGAATTATCACATTGACACCTATGTTGTATTATTTAGCAAGTCTTTTACTTAGTGGAGAATTGCTGTATTTTAGTGCGGGCATGTGTATTATTGGAACATGTAAGTTAACTAATATTAAGCTGGTAATGTAATAGCATTTGAATGTGAATTCTATATCGATTGCTCAGAATAGTGTCAAACTGTTGAAATTTGATTTTTTAAGATAACTTATCACAAATGTAATTATTGTCTTATATTACAAAATATTTTCATTTGTAAAATGAATTCATAATTTATATATATATATATATATATATATATATATATGTGTGTATTATATTATTTTTTTATTATCTTTCAGTTTATGCACTCATGCAGAAAACAATAGGTATGTCCAAGATCAGTAAAGCTTCAGATTATGGATCAGATTCACCAAGCAAGCGTTCACCAAACAAACAGACTTAATCATTTTAATACTCGATCATCATATTATTATGCTCATTCACTTTTAAAGCGTTTTGTTAAGGTAAGCAAATAATATCCAGTATTGAAGTTAAATAAGAACTGATTATCGAAAGATATTAAGGTTCAGGTTTAAGAATTTTATTGATGTTAAAAATTAAATATCTTTATGTAGAAGTGTTAATTTGGCAAATCAGAAACATATTCTAGCTTTTTGAAACCTTTATGTTGAAGCTTTCAAATCTATGATATATGTTGTAATGATGAAACATGAATATGTACTTACAATTTGCTTTAATCTGAAAAGATTTTCATTATAGAACGTTATTATTTGAAAGTGTGATAAATGAGTTACATAAGCTCTAATAAAATAAGTAGTGGCAATGATTTTGGCAGCATATCACACAGTAAGTTAAAATTATAAATTTGCCCTAAAATTATATAAATTAAATTTATATTCATTTCAAATGTATAAATCATATGATAAAATCTTGATATGCAAGTGATTAAACAACTTTGATTCGATTCAATATTGTCTGTTAAGGTATTTTTTATAATATTTGTGTATAATATTATAAAGTAAGACTTATTATAAATATATGAGTGTTAATAGTAATGAAATGATGATGATTGAAGGCAAAGACAAATGAATGAGATGGGTCATTCTAAAAAACATTGTTTGTAAAATATTTCTATATGAAAGCGGACTAATAATATTCATAAATGTTTTAGATGATTAACAAAAATTTTGACTGACTATAAATTTTATAAGGTGATATCAGAATTTTATATTTATCTGGTATAAAAATAATATAAAAGTTAATAATATAATAATTATATATATTATTGATGTTATATCATGAAATTTTGAGTTCTTCCATTTATCATGTTGCTGACATGCTTTTGTGATTGATATGACCTGCATTAGCATTTTGTGATAGGAACTAATTTATGTTAATCATAGTCACTTTTCATTGATATGCATTTTTTTTAAAAGTTACAGCATTTTATTAATTCGTCTTCCATTTAGTTTGACCTCAACTGTTCTTATCACATACAATAAGTATTTATATAATATGTTTGCTAGAATTAAATTGTTATAAATGTAAAATTGTAATCTAAATGTTGTTAACAAAATGTTATTTTTTGGATTTTGCAAATTTATATTTGTTTATCAAATACATTGAGTTAAAACTTATCTGTTTTAATTTTTACATATATCATTTGCACTGACTAAGTCTAAGAATAAAGTTAATAAGATGCATTTGTAATTTAATATCTGTTGGATTTTTAGTGACATAGAAACCTGGAACACCTGCTTTCTCTAAAGTTTCTTGCTGGTCTGTTACCTGAAATTTGTTATTATATATATAACTGTAAGTTGATACAGAAACAAATCAACACTTACTTTCTGATCCAATTGCTCTACAAGATTATTATCTAAAATTTTAATTTCTTTGGCTTGTTTTTTTAGCAGTTCGGAAAATTGTATAGAAAATGACTGCTCATTTGATGAATCCCTGATTAATGAATGGATGTCCACTAGGTAATATAGAAGATCATGAATAAATTATAGAAAACAATTATTTGATTGCATATCTCCATTTTATATTTTGCTCACATTTATGCTGATTCAAAACCTGCTGTCGTTGTTGATATAAATGCTTTTCTGTTACTTGTTGAATTTCCATTAAACCTATAACTATTTGAAAAATCATATCATTAAGAAGACAATTTGCTAAACTAGATAGCAACTCATAAGGAAGCCGCATCTGAAAATTTCTATAAAAAACAATAAGTCATTAATATTATAATAACTGTAAAATACACTAATGAAATGGAATTTATTCGCTTTTACTTGTTGAAATATTGTATTTATTAATTTAAATTAGTCTATCTTACGGAGGTAAAGTTCTTGCCATTTCTTGCAATTTTTCAAATAGAAAATATAACCGTTTTTGTGTATTTTCTGAGCTAGATGTTTCCATATTATTTGTCAATCACAAATTTGTTATCGTTATTTGTATATTCATTTGACTTTATTTAACACTAGATAATATAATAAATATTTGTATTATTTAATATTCTTATTTATAATTATAAATCAGTTTTCATATTGACACTTTGACAGTAGTGTTGCCAGATTATAAAACTATTCCTGGAAATAATACTATTCCATAGGCACATATATGCCATCTAGTTCTATTTATTACCTTTGGGCGTTCTAGAGTGACATTTGTAGTGTACTTCCGCCTCTTTCCTTTCCCGTTTAGCTTCCAACATGGTGAGTTTTCCAGTGTTTTGTTAGTGATTAAATCATAAATCATCTTTTAAATAAAAATGGTAATATATACATTTTAGTTGGACTACAAATATTTTCGTATTTTTTGTAATTGCGTTTATGAATTTTGGTGTATTTGATTATTTCAATTTTGATGAAAATTAATTTAATGTTGATATCTGTGCATATATAGTACTTGTGTAATTAATACAGTTGTTCATTTTCAAAAATGGTAGTGTTTAAAACGCATAGTATTTTGTTGCTGAAGCCCTAATTCGACTTATAATGTGTGTATATTTAGTTTTTTCTAACTTAACCTAAAAATTTCTAGGCTCGTGGACCTAAGAAGCACTTGAAGCGTCTTCATGCACCAAAAGCATGGATGTTGGATAAATTAGGAGGTGTGTACGCACCTCGGCCATCCACTGGACCTCACAAACTTCGTGAGTCCTTACCTTTAGTTATTTTTCTACGTAACCGTTTGAAATATGCTTTGACCAATACCGAGGTTACGAAGATTGTTATGCAGCGTTTAATCAAAGTTGATGGAAAAGTACGCACAGATCCTAACTACCCATCTGGATTCATGGGTAAGTAATATATATTTTAACATACTTGACTTACTTACAATAATTCATGGTTTCTAATTTGTGCATTGTTTTAGATGTTGTTTCAATTGAAAAAACTGGTGAATTCTTCCGTTTGATCTATGATGTTAAAGGACGTTTTGCCATTCATCGTATTTCAGCTGAAGAAGCTAAGGTAAGTTCTTTCAAACTATTTATGAAGTTGAAATTGATAGTTTTTTGTTGCGTTGTAGTGTTTGTATTCACGTTTTCACTTGTAGAATGCTCAATTACATTGTCCTATTAATTGAATTTAAATGTTTGCATAAAAAGTTATGGATCTATCTATGAATGTGATTATACAAAGTGTGTAGTTGTACTAGATGGGTCCTAGAATAATGGGCCTCTATTTGCCCCATGGTAATGGTATCATCATTACGCATGGTTTCCTTTTGAGGTACAGAGTTTATTTTAATTCCATGCAGATATGCATTTTAGTTCAAAAATGTTTGACTTGTGTTACTTTGTGCTGCTTATAATTGAAAAGTATTAGATACTTATTGAATATTATTAAAATGTTTTCAATTAAATTTAAAGAACTTGTTTTGAGCAATAATTGATTCAAGCAATTATTGTAAAACACTATAGAGGAGTTTAATTTTATATTCAATGATTATAATCTTAAACTTTATGCTTTAAGTTGTTGGTTTAATTCTTATACTCATAACTCCATCTCCTATTTTGTTACAGTACAAACTCTGCAAAGTAAAGCGTGTACAAATGGGACCCAAAAATATTCCATTCTTGACAACACATGATGGCCGCACCATTCGCTACCCAGATCCTTTAATCAAAGTAAACGATACTGTTCAGGTGGATATTGCCAGTTCTAAGATCACAGATTATATTAAGTTTGATTCAGGTTAGTACATTTTATAGAACCATTTATAATTATTGCCTGATCGAAGCTTATTGCTCATTTTTAATTGTTCAATGAGTCAAAACAAGGCAGATAATAATGTTGCTTCCAATGGTCACTGGCTTGTTAAAATAATACATGAATTCAGTATTTACCCATGGAATTTACAATTCAACTTCTTAAATTCATATTTATCAAATTTTTGTTTATTACCCTCAAAGATCAAATAGCTATGAGAAAATCATTTTTATCTTTTTATAAATTTTACTTATTACTCAATTTTCATACATATATTAATGTTGAATTTTTTTTTAGGAAACTTGTGCATGATCACCGGAGGTCGTAACTTGGGGCGTGTCGGTACTGTTGTCAACCGTGAAAGACATCCAGGATCTTTTGATATTGTACATATCAAGGACAGCCAAGGCCACACTTTTGCTACTAGGTAAGTTTAAACTCTATACTTCATTTTTATATGGAATATTAAATTAAATATAAACCCAGCTGATCCATTAGATATGCCTTAGACATTTTGGTCTAGTAAAAAAAGTTACCATTTTCTATTTTACATGGTACTTTGATTCAAATTTGGCCCTTTCGAAGCTTAGCAATTTTTAATAAATTGAATGAGTCAAAAAGAGGCCTATAAAAAATTACTTCTTTAGGTCACTGAAAAGCCAATCATGCTTTAATCAGTATTACCCAAGTAGTAAACAGTAAATTTAATTTTAATATTAAATAAACAAAATTTCATTTTTCTCCCCACTTATTTTGCAAAATTGCATTTTTCAGATTGAATAACGTTTTCATCATTGGTAAAGGCTCTAAGGCATACGTTTCATTACCTCGCGGTAAGGGAGTGAAACTCAGTATTGCAGAAGAACGTGACAAGAGACTTGCTGCAAAATCTGCACATTAATGTGAGAATTAAAATAAATTACTATAAAAAATAATTGATTTTTATTTCAAACTTAAATTAGTATTATACTTCTATTCATATGATACCCAAATTCTTTTACAGTGAATTTGAGCACACTATTTACATAGTAATATAAAATATATAATTTGTTCTACCTATCCTAATATCACAGTTCCATTAGTTTTGCAGAAAATTATGATGTATGAAGACATATTTACAACTGTTTTTTCTTGTAGTACCATTAGCATGAACTATATGCAGAGTATTTGTACTGTTTTTTTAACATGGTCTTGTTCGAATTAAATTGATCTAATTGTTTTTGTTGTCCTGCCAACAAATGTGCATTAAAGTTTTATTTTGTGTTAAAATGAGTTCTAATTCTACATTGGATTATTAGATAACATCTCAGATTCTTGGCTATGCACCATCTGATGGTGTCTTTGCAGGTCCCTTCTTCT